AAAAAAAAAAAAAAAAAAAAAAAAAAAAAAGAAAAGAAAAAGGAATCACTTATTAAAAAAGGGGCCAGCCGGTGGGTGTGGCGGTAAAGGGCACTGAACTCCTACATGGCCAACAGTGGCTCAAATCCTGGACCCGGCGGCTTGCTTTCTCACTCCCCCCACCTTCACCCCAACTCTCGCTGGTCAAATTAAAACAGTTAAGTAAAATAATTAAAAAACAAACACAAAAGAGAGACCTACTTATTATCGAAGTTATTATTATTATTATTATTTACCTTGATCAAGTTTTGAAACTTCTTGTTCTGTTGCATCAGCAGCTTGTAATGGCTGACGGCCTCGTTGTGGCCGCTGCAGAAGATTCCGTACTTTTCTTTCATCCTCTCCCCGTTCTCACCTGAAAACTAACACGGAAAAGAAGGGAACCTTGCTGAACGGAACGTGAAAACCACCCAGGTAAATTTTCTTTTTCTTTTCTTTTTCAGAATTTGTTAGAGGGCTGGGGACCAGCAGGTGGCGCGGTGGTTAAGGCGCTGGACACTCCCACATGGCCGACCACGCACGGTTGGAGTCCCAGACCTGGTGGCCTGCTTTCTCGCTTTCCCTCTCTCTCTGTGTATCTCTGTGTCAAATCAAAAAGAAACGAACGAATACGTAAAATTAAATAAATAATTCTTTAAAAAATATATTTGTTAGAGGGTACATGCACTCGCCAGAGAGACAGACGGGGAGGGGGGGAGAGAGAGAGAGGGAAAGTGAGAAATCTCCCCCAGGGAGATGGCCATGCTGCAATCCCATCTCCATTCTCCTCTTGGGATTTTGGGCACGCACAGGCTCCTGGGGGGGTTTTCAAGTCACCAGGGGTCCGGGACTCGAACCACACAGCTGGCCATGTGCGAGCTGGCTCCCTTAACCTTCAAGCCGCCTGCTGGCCCTCACTCCTTTTTTATAGTTTGCCAGAGAATGCATGTGCTGGCTGGAGAGAGGCAGAGAGAGAGAGACAGAGAGAGATAGAGAGAAACAGAGAGAGAGAGACAGAGAGAGAGAGAGAGAGGAGAAAGGGCCTCCCGTGGGGCATAAAAAAAATCTTTCCCTCTATGTCCCTCTTTTTGAGATTTTGGGCAGGCACACGTGCACACGTGTGTACACACACACACACACACACACACACACACAAACACACACACACATGTTTCTCAAGCTGTTGAGTCCAGGACTTGAACGAACCAGATGGTTAGCCACAGATCTGGCCCAGATTTCAAAAGTTTTGCACCAAATGAATTAATTCTCTCATTCCATGTCCCATGAACTTTTTGAAGTCCTTTCATACAATAAAGGTAAAATAAAAAAAAATTTCTGCGTAGGCTTCACAGTATCTGTGATGCTATAAAGCTCCCTGGCAGCTAAAAAGAAAAAAAAAAATAATTTAAGCCAAAGGCTGTTAGAAACATGAAAAAGCAAGAGGAGTATTTTTTCTTTCTTTTCTTTTCTTTTTTTTTTTTTGGAGAGGTTTTTGCTATAGGGCGCGTGTGCTCGCCAGAAAGACCGAGAGAGACAGAGAGACAGAAAGCGAGAAATCACCCCCCAGGGGGGATGGCCACGCCGCAATCCCTTCTCCTCCATTCTCCTCTCAGGATCTTGGGCACGCACGCACATGCACCCAGCTTGAGTTTAAGCCACCGGATCTGGGACTCGAACTGTGGTCGACTACATGGGAGTCCAGCGACACAGCCATTACGCTAACTGCTGGTCCCAAGAGGAGTATTTTTTAAAAAGGATTATTTACTTAACTTTATTTATCTATTTTAATTAGATCAGAGAGGGACAGAGCAAGAGAGAAAGAGAGAGGGAAAGTGAGAAAGCAAGCCGCCAGGTCTGGGACTCAA